TTTAAGTAGAACAGATCAAAATTATGAAGGAAAAATCTCTGATAGAATAAGGCTATGATAGAATAAGTATTGGCTTCACTGACAAGATTGTAAGAACCAAAAGATGTAGATTTAATGGAATGATCAAAATAATGAAATAGAAGTTGAGAGCTGCCTGTCAAAAAAGGATTGGATTTAAACTTGAAGTAAAAGTATTTATAGGGCTGTGAGGAAACAGTTGGACTAATTGGATCACTCTAAAGTGAGCCAGGAAAGGCATGATGGACCATATTACTTTCCTCTGTGTTATACAGTTCGATTATATGGAGTTAAGTGTACAGAATCACAAAAGTATTGTGACACAGAAGGAGGCCATTAAGGTCATCATGTCTGTTTTGGCTATTCTTTGAGCAGTGTGACTTAACACTTGTCTAGATAGAATTGTGTTTACAGTTCAAAAATACTTCATAGACCTGTCCTTGCATTGTGAACAAGGAACAACATCACAAGAGCAATTAAAGTTTACAGGAATATTCTTTACAATCAAAACTAATCTGATTTTTCTTTTCACTCAACAAGATCTGTCCCATCCATTCTGAAAACCCACAGTAACAACAGCATCCCTATTCATTTACAGAACATGTCTCTCACAGGGCTACATATGATGAATCTGTGGATATCAGACCAGCATGCACTGGTCCCTTCTGTATTTCATTTGTGTTTCCTTAAGCCATGAAGTATTTGAAGATGATTTGGCCATCAGAGAGCAGAAGATTGCTACAGGAATTGACACGACTGTGGATGATGGAGTTTAAGCAAATATACTTCACAATATTTCACTGTTTCAGGGGTATTTTTTTTTGCAGGAAACCAAGTCAATTCTAACAAGATACAGCAGGAGGTGAAATTAAGTTATAGCATTTTTGCAATTTATCCAAAGGTGACACAGAATGAAAATGACCTTTTCCTTACTAATATTAGGTGGAGGAATCATTTGAAAAGTTAATAATTGGCACTTTGGTCAACTGATAGCTTGTTAGCTACACTATTGAAACTGCACTAACCTTTGGAGTCCAAGACTAAGAGCCTAACATTTCTTTGGAAACTTATTAATAGTTGCATTTTATTTCTGAGAGCCTGCTATTGACATTAGACTGAATTTAATTTCCTGATGTGTAATATAGAAGGAATTGTGGAGGGGCATTATGGTGCTGTAGTAATATCTCTACCTCTGAATTAAAAGCCCCAGTTTCAAGTCCCACCTGCTCCAAAGGTATGTATAATAATGTCTCTGAACAGGTTAATTAGAAAATATCTTAAGTGCTAATTGTGGGTCTTCCAGCCTACTTCTCAGTTGGAAGATTTAGGTTCAAGTCCTACCTGACTTGGAGCTGTGTTGCGAAAGGTTGATTAAATTATCCATAGAGCTAATTGTTGAAAAGCTCACAAGCAACCAGTAGTCAATGTAGCACTTTGACTATTTAATTAATGCCTCTTAAGCATTGATATCCAGCTTTCAATGCAAACCTAAAGTAAAGGATTATCCTAGCCAGTTATGTGTAAGATGTCCATAGCCAAAAAATATACAAGTCTGTTGCAGCTGCACGTTCATTTTTATGCTCCAGGTACCCCAATGCCTGTCAAGAAGGAGTTCAATAGTAACATTTTCTTGCTCAAGCTGATGTTGTTGTGTCTCTGAGTAATATAAAGACACCATCAGTATTAATCCGTTGCTTGTAGCAAACAACCACTTTAACTGCAATCATCAAACACCAGTATTTATTGAGTCTGTCCTTTTCTTTGAGCCCATATCTTGCTTTACAGTCAGCTCAATGGATTTCAAGTCCTTTTTGTTGCATTTCACACCTTATCTGTATAGGCTGCTCTATACTAGGTTTAGTTCAACTTGGTGATAGTTGCAGGTTGACCCAGTGCGGTTTTGGTGGGTTGAGAAGACAAGAGCTGAAGAGGCCAGAATGAGATGGACTCTCTCCTGTTCCAAACCAGACAATCTCAGCTGGAGTGTTGTGTACCGTTCTGAGCATTGTGCCTTTTAGGAAGGATCTGAGTACAGAACAGAAGAGATTTACAAGAACATTTTTTTTTTAAAATTCACTCGTGTCACGTGGGTGATGATGGCTGGGCAGCATTTATCACGCATCCGTAGTTATCCTCAACAAGTTGGTGGTGAGTTATCTTCTGAATCACTTTAATCCATTTGATATAGTTCCGCCCACAATGCCAGGATTAGAGGAGTGCAGAGATCTCAAGGGGGAGCTGAACACAATTACAGAGATGGAGGTGAAAGGCCATGGAAGTGTTCGAAAACAGGGTGTGACACTTTAAACCAAAGTGTTGCTTGAATAGGAACCAATATAGGTCAACAGGCTTGGAGATCATAGGGGAACAAATGTGCTGTGAGTTCAAACACAAGCAGCAGAGTTTTAGATGACCACATTCACCAACCACCTAACCAAGCGATATACTCTAGCAACCGTGTAAAACAAGGGCACCTCTGTATATCCCAGAACAAGAACGACAATTTTTTCATGGAATTCTGCACTTGTAATTGCCAGGATCTGCTTTAGCCACTTTTACACTGCATCCTTTAAATGATCCAAGAACAGTCAGACTCCCATTATAGAGGTCTCCCAGGTCCTAAAATTATCTTTTTTTAAAATAACTATTAAATACTTGTCACCTGAAAGAAATAATTGCGGAGGAATAAAATAGTGCAAGGCTTGTATAATCCTGGTGAAAGATTTTAACAGTTTAGTGGTCACAATCATTACTCACAAAAGCAGAAATTGCTGGAAAAACTCAGGCATGATCTGTGGAGGGAAAGCAGTGTTATTGTTTTGGGTCCAGTGACCCTTCTTCAGTGTTCATGAGTTCTGAAGAAGGGTCACCAGACTGGAAATGTTAACTCTGCTTTCTCTCCACAGATGCTGCCGGACCTCCTGAGTTTCTCCAGCAGTTTCTGTTTTTGTTTCTGATTTCCAGCATCTGCAGTTGGTTTTTTTGATTACTTGGTTAGCTTTAATATTTATCTTAGGATAATGGTAGACAAAAAGTAAAAGTTCTAAGTTGGGAATAAGTCAATGTTTTGGCATGGGGGCATGCATCAGCGAGTGGAGACAAAAGAAACACGAGTAGGTGGAGTCAGGCTCATGCAGACCCAGAGTTTCAGATTTACTTTCAGCTGAAGAAGTTGGAGGTTTTTGGAGTTGAAGCTGCTAGATGCAGCTCTCTCTCTCTGCTGCGAAAACCTGAGTTCTCTCTTGGCTGCTCGATTTGTTTTTTTCAGTATTATATTCTGTTTGACTAGAGTGAGAAAATACCACATGAAAATAACACTGTTTAGCTGAATTTGCCTTTGCCAAGGGTGTGTATATGGGATGCTGCTATATTGGAACAGTTGATGGGTAGTCGTTAAATAATATATTATTTTATTAAGTATTTTGATAGAGTTAAAGTTGTGCCATTTCTTTTGTATTTTAACTGTGATGTAAGAATAAATATTGTTTTGCTTAAAGTCTAATAGTTTGACCAATCAAATCACATCTGGAACATAGAGATAACAAGGTGTAGATCTGGATGAACACAACAGGCCAAGCAGCATCAGAGGAGCAGGATAGTTCCTACTATCACACCTTGTTATCTGAGATTCTCCAGCATCTGCAGTTCCTACTATCTCTGAAACATCTGGAACACAGCACCTTACACTTGCCTACACATAAGATAAAAGTTAGGGTCCAGGCTATCTTCTTGTTATATTTTGACGGGGTTTGCTCTGGTCCATAACAATGATCAGCTCCAGAGCAGGTGGGACTTGAACCCAGGTAGTAACATTTATTATGGACCAGACCAAACCCCCTCAAAATTATTAGATGATAGCCTAGACCCTTATTTTTTTCTTATTTTAAAGGTAAATGTGAGGTGCTGTGTTCCACATGCAATTTGATTGGTCAAACTACTTGACATTAAGCAGAACACAGTTTATTCAACTGCTACAGTGCAAATACAACAAAAGAAAGAGGAACTTGGAATAACTTAATGCTATTAGAAAATTTAACAGAACAGTAGATTATTTTACCACTAAACAGATAACCAAACCATAACTATTCCCATATAATGACATACCATGAACACATCCTTGGCAAAAGGCCAGTTCAGAAAACGGATTGTCTCACATGCAGTTCTCCAATCCATGAGGAAAGGATATCAATAGACATTTCTGAGAGAGCCAGGATAGATTCACTACCTTCCAACGCTGCTGAAAGCTAACTAAAAATCCTAGATCTGTGAGATCTTGACCATCCCCACTCGGGCTGCTACTATTGTTCCAACTTAAAAAAAAGGCCTCACAAGCTGTTTATGCTCTCATAGACTGCTCGGTACCTGTCCCCCAAATTTCTCTCTAAAAGAAACCAGGACAATACACACCTCTTAAAGCCACAGTATTATCACGAACTACCATTGTGCCATTAGATTCTTACTCCAGATCTTTTGGCATTTATTGAATCAACTGGCCAAGTACACTAATGCATTTTAGTCTTTGTGCAACATGCATTTCATTTGAGTTATCTTAGAGAGAGAGATTAATATGATACATTAAAATTGTGCATTTGTTAGTCACCTTAACAATAGTACACTGGCAGAAGCAAGCGTATTTTGCTGCATAAACTCAAATTGTAGAGTGTTTCTGTTAGGAGCCACGTTCTTACATATATAAATAAGTATCTGCTTACCGTGCATGATCCTCCAGCAAAATAAAATTAATCATTTGCAGACTTAATTATCCTGTCCTGTAGCTGAATGTTTATTGCAATATTCAATACTTTCATGCAACTTAACTGCCCTGAAGAACTGTGCTGTGAAAGAAAATGAGGTATTGTTTTTGGAGGTTGCACTGGATAAGTCTGAATCGTTGACTGGCCACTGGTTTTGTATTCTGGTGGAAATAACTGAATTAAATAAAATCATTAATGCATTCCCCCTTTGCTTATCTGCTCCTGTAGGTCTCCAGGTTGTTCTTCCTGAATACCTGAGAGAGAAGTTTGTGCAGTCAGCCCTGAGCTACATCATGTGCAATGGAGAAGGCGAATACATCTGTAAAAACAGCCAGTGTGCTTGTCAGTGTGCAATAGAATTTCCACAATGCAACTGTCCTATCACTGACATTCAACTCATGGAAAATTCACTGGCTGGACTTTCTGAGGCCTGGAACACAGCTTATAAAGATTTTGAAACATCAGGTAAATTGAATAAACTTTGAGAGCTCTCTTGGGATAAAAATAAACATTTTGAAAAATTGCATGCCACACAGCTTAAATGGGCACAAGCGATTCGAATAAAGCCTCATTTGGGATTCTCACATTGACAATTATTTTGCAGTTACTTCAAAACTTTGATTTCTAATCTTGCCTATCACAGTCTCGTACTAATTTCACTAATTTCACAATACCCAGCAACCAGAAACAGTGTGATTTCTGGATTTCTTCTCAGAAATCCAGCTTTGTAAAAGTGGAAGTCCCTCAGCAGGTGACAGAGTTTTTCATTTAATGACCATTATGATTGATTATTGTTACTTGGTTCCATTTTAAAAGATGTATTGACTTCAAAATGCAGTTCACAAATTGAGCAAAACCCTGACGTTCCATTGTAACTGAATAGTAAATGCATCAAGTTCAATCCGTTCCCTTTTCTGACTTGAATTTAAACAAGATGTGCTGGTGTTGGACTGGGATACACATGACACCTATTCAAATCACTTCACTACTTCACCTGACGAAGGAACAGGGTCCCGAAAGCTTCTGATTTTAAATAAACCTGTTAGACTGTAACCTAGTGTCATATGACTTCTGATTTTGACTTTAAACAGCCATTAAAATCCCACAGTTGACCACAACACTCCACTCAGGGAGAACAACCAGCAATTTTCCTTATCGATATTTGTCATCCAGTGACCTGTGTTAGAAAGTGCGTGTTAAATGGATCCCAGGCCTGATAATGAGGGAAGAAACCTGGTGCAAGTCCTTTTCAGAATGTAGCATTACAGATGCCCACCCCCACGCTGGATATAGAGTGTGCCAGCAATCTCCCTTTATTAGGGCTCTAAGTACTTGAAAAGCAGAAGTCACTATGGGTTACTGAGGACCCTAAGTGTCCTCTCTCATTAGAGAGACAGAGAGAGAGACAACTGCTGTTGAGTTAGACATGAGGATCACTACACTGCAGGTGAGGGGTGAGGTTGAATAGTCAGGTGACCTCAGATTGTATGGGAATTGAAAACTGTTGGCAACCCTCTGCACAAACATATGAATGCTCTTCACCTTTGTAGTTCACCAAATTAAGACTCATGTAACAAGCCACCACTGCAGTTCTAAGGGAAGAATATGGTGGGGATTTACTTTGATATTCTCCTCCCTCTGTTTGTGTAATCTGCCAACACTCGTACACTTATGGAGTCTTGGATGGGAACCTGCAGATTTATAACATCAACAGCTGCATGAGAGACAGATGAGAAAAAAAAACACACACAGAGTAGTCACTTGTCTCATTTTATTTCCATCACAACTGAGGCTGCCCTAAATCACTTGTGTCATCAGTGCTGATAATTTATTGGCCTTTTACACTGAGAAAACACCACCATTTAATCACTGTAACTAAACACTTTGTTCTTCATTGTACAAAACTATATTCCATTAGACACTGAGAACGGGGATATCCACAGATCTGGCTGATGCTATTTGTGAATTTTTATGATTACTTCACAAGGCACAGAGTTGTGGAAAAATTGTCTGATTGTTTTGATGCTGTGAGTCATGTTCTCTGAGCCCTTTGTCCTTCAATATGAATTCAGAAATGTTAAGCAAATAAATATAAACAATATGTTGGCATAATAATTTGATACCTTGTGCTGTGTCCCAATAGTGAGATGGAGACTCACACCAATGATTGGTTCTCTCTCTCAGCCCAGTTTCTGTTTGAATATTTTTCAAGCTGTCTTACCCCAGTTTTCAACAACTTCTCCCCATGCCTTTTGCTGCATATCCTCAAAATCTACTTCTTTCCCTCTGTATTTGGTCATTTCCACAACTGCCCTGTTCCTGTGCAAAATCCATTTTTTTGTTCTCGGGGTGATAACTGCAAATGAAACTTAAAGCAATTGCAAGGAAGAACTTGCATTTACAAATAGACCATCGAAGTTTAAGGTTGTTTTGAAATTCTTTACTGTCAGTTAAGTACTTGAGAAAAGTGTCTGTTATAATGTAATTTGTACACAGCAGTGTCCCATATAGCAGGTATAACGGGGAGATAATCTTGCATTTTCTGAGTGTTGGTTTGGAATAAATTTTGAACAGTACATTGTATAGACCTTCTGTTGCTGTTCTTCAGAAAAGTACCATGAGTTCTTCCTCATCGACGTGAGAAGGTAGCCATGGCCATGGCTTAGGGTCTCATCTGAAAGGTGACGCCTCAGACAGTCTAGCACTGTCTCCAGACTACATTAGAGTAGCAGCCTAGATTGTGTGTGTTTAATTCTCTAGAGTGGGACTCAGCTTGCACCTTCCTTTCAGGAGAACTACCAACAGCCACAGTTGACACCAATGCAGGCTATTTTAAATAAAAACCGAAAGAACTGCGGATGCTGTAAATCAGGAACAAAAACAAAGTAGCTGGAAAAGCTCAGCAGGTCTGGCAGCATCTGTGAAGGAGAAAACAGAGTTAACGTTTCGGGTCCGGTGACCAGCAACTTTGTTTTTGTTCAGGCTATTTTAATGTTGATCAAATACCACAATGATGGAAAAGGAATGGTCTATTCAAGAATGCTCCCATGTTTTCCAATTACACATGGAGGCTGATCTGAAAATAGACTGTGCTCCCAAATCCAACTCATGGCTTATGTCAGGCAAACCTTAGAGAGAAACAAGATAACCTATGTGGAAAACATTGGTTTTGGATCAACCATGTGGAATTTGTGTCTTCTTTAGAATAAGTTGCCACCTCTAGAAATGAAGAGCATGCACCACGGCAGTTGGCATTTTACATTGGAAGGTGTCTGTCCAGTCCAAGCCAAAGAGGATTGGGGCAGCGCCTAGAGTGGTCAACGTCTAATCAAAAATGTAGAATAGAAATAAGCCTGTCTTTGCAGAACTTGCTATTCAAAGCCCGCCTGTCATTATTTCCTTCCAGATGAATTCAAGTCCTTCTTGAAGCGTTTGCCCACCACACATTTCCTGACCGTGGGGAGTGTCCACCAGCTCTGGGGCAATGACTGGGATCTCCAGGCACGGTACAAAATTCTCCAGAGCTCTGTGGAGACGTTAAAGTTGAAAATCCAGCGCACTGCCCGCAAACTCTTCAGCCTCAGTATCCGCTGCCGTCATAACCCAAACCACCAGATGCCTCGAGAAAGGTAAGGAAGACATGGAACGAAGGGAGTGCTAGTCAGGGGTCTCTTCCTTTTCAGTCAGAGGTGAGGTTCTGGTGTTTTCGTGCTGTGGTGCAACAATAATCATTGTTCACCCTGATAAACCACGACACTTGAAAAGCGAACCAGGAAAGAGATGGAAGAGATTGTATCTCCTAACTTTCCCACAGATGCTCCTACTCTGACAAGAATGTTCTGACCTTCACTGGGAATGTAGAATAAATTAATCAACTCAGCTTGGAATTCCCATAGGGTAGCATCCTTTATTGACGTCAAAAATAAAGTCTGACAAATAAAAAACAGTGGGCCATTCAAAAGAGGTGGCGGTGAGGTAGAACTGAGTGTTATTGACATACATGTAAAAAATGACATTGTTGGATAATCTTGCTGAGGACATTTAGAGAGATGAGGTGGCCACGGACACAGTCAAGGAAGAATCATTGTTACAGTTCGCTAGTTACCATTAGATAAATGAGAAATGCAGTGGAACCAGGTGAGTGCCAGTTTCAGCTAGCTGGATAGAAATGGTGGAAGATGGTGAAATCAACTGAGCCAGTGGCTGTAGACTGTCCTAGGGAAAATCAAGAAGTAATTTATAAGAATCACACAGGATGTTATTTGTGACTTTGATGAGAGCTGTTCTGATACAGTAATAGAGAAGGATATCTGTTTGAAGGATTCAGACATGGAATCCCAGGTAAGATTGGACCGAATTTAGGATGCCACAACATATTTAACAACATTGGAAGGGGAGGCTAGCTTGGAAATGATATAAAGCTTGTAAGTAGGCAGGTCAAGTGTATGTTTTTAGGAAAAGAAGGATGTTGACAGCACACTTTAAGGACAAGAGGACAGATCTGACGCGGAAGGAAACAATAGGATAAATCAACATTTTAAGCTAGGGAAAGTTTATCTAAAATGACAACAAAGTGTTTTTGCAGATGAAAAACCATTTCATCTCACTCTTGGGAGCTAATGCCATTAAAGTGAAAAGGGAGATGTGTTTTCCAGTCTTGAAAATAATACGTAAAACAGTGGCAGAGCTAAGAAATCAAGAACAGGAGAATAATTCAAAATATACTTGGAGTTTCTATAGATACTGTAGAGCAAACAAAAGATGTCGATAATTATATTTAGACACTGAGGATAAAAGAACAATGCTAGTTATTTGCAGTTTATCCTTTTTTTAATTTGCTAAATTAATGAGCATGGATTGAAAATTTCATGGACAGAAAACTGAGAATAGGAAGTGTCCATTTTTCAGGATAGAAGAATCTAAATAGTATAGTTTTTACAGCCTCTTTGCTTCTTACTGTCCCAGCAAGCTTCGATATATTAAACTCAATCCCCTCATCAATGCTACTGTAGATCATAAATGACTTGGCCCAAGCACAAATCCTTACAAAGTGATTGGATCAGAAAGCACCAGTTGGTTTTTGTGTGAAATGTGAAATTATTCACTTGGCAGCGAAAATGAAAAGGGATTTTTCTTAGAAATGAAAGACTAATAAGGGTTTGTTTTCAGACAGATTTGGGGACCTTTGTGGATAAATCATAGAAGTTTAGCATGCAAGTTTTCTAATATCACTTTCAAAGTATATGCAAATGATCGAGGAAGCAGGATATAAAGCATGATACGGCCAACATCAGTTCTTAGTTTAGGAAGTGCAGCTGTTGTTGAAGATAATAATTGCTGAATCTGTTTGGTGGATCTGCCTGAAATATACAACGCATATTGCTACACAGGGGGAATGGCCCGAGCCCGTCTGAAAGTTAAACCAAAACACAAGCCCCAACCTGTTATGGCTGGAGTAGAAGTTCCCTTCTAATAATTAACCCCAAAACACCCACAGAAGCTCGCCTTTCCCCTCGTAATCTGTTAAAAGAATGGTTAAAAGAAAGAAAGTCCCTAATCTCCACTTTACAAATTAGAAGAAACAATTTATTTGTTTAATCCTAACAATGAACAAATTAACAGAATTACTCACAAACTGAATAATTCCCCCTTAGACTACTATCTACTTCCTAACTGGTCTAAATTCTATTGGAATGCTGTTCAAATAAACACAAGTCCCACGTATATAGTCCAAGTTAATTTTAAAAAAACTTAATCGCTCCAAATTCGCACAGTCTATGTCTTCTCCACTTTATCTCCAATCTTCCTTCCGTTGATCTCATGTCACAAACACCTTTCTTCTGATGATTCTGCTGTCTTGCATATTTATCTCTAATTTCTACCATGAGGTCTTTGAGCCAAAATGCGGTGGTACCTTTGATGGGTCTTTTCAGCAATTTTATGTGAAAGCCAGGTTTGTATATCAGAAGGTGAACGTGTTTTCGCTGCAGCTGAAGTTTGGCTCTCCCTTCAAATGGCAGTTGGCTCTCTCCTACTAAGTTGTTTCCAAGAACAAACTGTATTCCAGGAATTGACACTCTTTCAATCACTCCCACTTTCACTTCTCCAGCCTTGATTGGACTTTCCAACCTGATTTTACACAGGGGAACGCTAAATCTCTACCCATCTATTCCACAGATTACCACTCTCTCGGGTAGCATTTCGGAAGGAGTGCAAATACTTTCATCTCTTACTGTTAGAGACTGACCAGCTCCTCTATTTCTCAATATTGTAACTTCTTTACCTTCTCCCTCTATTCTTATTGAGTAAACCTTAACCCCCAGAGGTGAAGTGTTTGTTGATATCAGATACTGTCTCATTATCCTGCCTGTGACTAGGCTGTGCATTCTCCTGCAGCTCCTTGAATTCTTTCAGGATTTCCTTCACTACCTCAACTAATCCCACTGGTTTAGCCTCTTTTACCACATCCTTTTTCCCAGTGCCTCTCTTAAACCACCAGCACTGTGACTTTGTGTGTCCCATCTTATTACAGTGAAGGCACCTGAGGCCCTTTCACTTCTTTTTCACCCTATTAGGTTTCTTTTTTCACATGTGGTAAACTGCTCCCAGTTAGATCTACTTTTTGTTTTTCAATTGTTTTCCCAATTTCTATCCCTCACAGAATGAAATTGCTGTCGGAAGCTAAATTTCAATTTATGCACTAATAAATATTCATCCGCTATCTCTGCAGCTGTTCTTACGTTGGTAACTTTCTGTTCCTCAGTATGAGTTCTTATCCTCTCTGGAAGTGAGTTTTTAAACTCCTCCATCAAAATAATTTCTCTAAGACCCTCATATGTCTTCTATCTTTAATGCTGTCGCTGTTGCTCTGTTTAATTCCTTCAAACACAACAAAACTCTGACCAGGTTCCTTCTTTATGTTTCTGAACTGTTGCCTATATGCTTCTGGTACCAATTTATAGACACTCAAAATAGCCTGTTTAACCTCTTCATAATCTCTTGACACCTCATCTGACAGCGCTGCAAACACCTCACTAGCCCTGCCTACCAACTTGGTCTGAATTAACATTACCCACATAGTCTCTGGCCAATTCATCTGCTTAGCAGGTTTTTCAAATGAAATGAAAAAGGCTTCCACATCTTTTTCATTGAATTTTGGGAATGTTTCGACATATTTGTATCTATCCTGACCAGGTCTTTGGCCATGATGGGTTTGCTCATCGTCACTCTCCGCCTCACTAAACCTGTCTTTTACCTTCATCTCCATCCTTTTAAATTGACTTTCCTGTTCAATTTGTAACTTCTGAGGTTCAAACTCTCTCTCTCTTTCTCCCTGTCTTCTCTCTCTCTTTCTTTTTTCTCAGCTAAGAACCTTCTCTCCTTTTCTTTATCTTCTAACTCCAGTTGTCTCATTTGCAATTTAATTTTTTCTAACTCCATGGCACTTGCCTGTTTCTGTGATACACCTATGTGTTTGAGCAACTCCATTTACAGTTTCAGCTTTCCTTTTATCCCTAGTTAAACCCATTTCTAGCTTGTCTGCTAATTCCACAAGTATATCATTCCTTTGTCTTTCTAAACTTTCTCAGCAAATTTGAGAAGCGTCTTCAAATCCCAGAACCTCTTTAGTAAGGTTAAGAGCCAGTTCCCTCATTTTTAATTTAATCACTGACTACTAACCAAAATTAAACAGATTTTTCTCTCTTAAGTTTTATTTAAACATCTAGGACAATAATCCCCAAGTCTGTTTCAATCTGGCCAGATCTTGGACTTGAACCGTCTAGATGCTGGACTTTAACCAACCAGATCCCGGACAAGCTCCCAATTTGTTACGGGAGAGAATGGCCAAACCCTTCTAATAGTTAAACCAAAACACAGGCTCCCACCTGTTATGATGGGAGTAGAAGTTCCCTTCTAATAATTACCCCCAAAACACCCAGAGAAACTTGTCTTCCCCCTTATAATCTGTTAAAAGAGTAGTTGAAAGAAAGAAAATCCCTGATCTCCACTTTACAAATAACAAAAACAATGTATTTGTTTAACCCTAACAATGAACAAATTAACAGAATTACTAACAAACTGAGTAATTCCCCCCTAGACTACTAACTACTTCCCAACTGGTTTAAATTCTACTGGAATGCTGTTGAAATAAACACAAGTCCCACTTATATAGATCCAGATAATTAAAAAAAACTTAATCGCTCCAAGTTCGCACGGTCTATGTCTTCTCTGCTTTATCTCCAATGTTCCTTCCATTGATCTCAGGTCATAAATGCCTTCTGATGATTCTGCTGTCTTGCACGTTTATCTCTTTAATTTCTTCCATGAGGGCTTTGAGCCAAAATGCGGTGGTACCTTTGATGGGTCTTTTCAGAGAGCTCAGTAATTTTATATGAAAGCCAGGTTTGTATTTCAGATGACGAACTTGCTTTCGCTGCAACTGAAGTTTGACTGTCCCTTCTGGCAGCAGTTGGCTCTCTCCCGGTTTTCCAAATGTCCTTATCTTTATACCCATAATGACATAATAGTTATTCTCATGTAGGATTGGTTCGATGTTGTCAACACCATCAGTATTTTTTTAATCCAAGTGACTTTGAATTACACAGTGCTTGGTTTAAATTTATTGGCC